GCTATAGACTGATAGCCGAAAGCTTATGTTTTTAATATATTTTTAACCAGAGAACGTTTTTATTCCAATAGTACAAAAAGTGTCATCTAAATAGAGGTTCATTTATGCCTGTCCATACATGGCGAATGGAAAAAAAAATTATAAAAATTATTCATTACCTTTGGGTGTGAGTTGTTCAAATATCAGCAGTAGTGCTCAATTAAAAATTTGTCGTAAAAACCTGATTGCAATTCAGATCTGTATGCTTAAAGGAAAACCCAGTGCAAATCTATATCAGATTTGAAAACCCAGTGCAAATCAGCCTCCATTTTGGAGATCCAGGAAAGATAACACGAGAATTGTGTTAAAAAAAAAAAATGAAATATGTTATAAAGTTAAATTTCTGACAACGCATAAATAACTGCTAAAAGATGATATTTTAGTACCCTAGGTTAGCTTTTTTTTAGCCACGCTTATTATTTCGGCTTGCTAGCGTTCGTAAAATGTGTAATTTTGGAGTCGAGTTTTGTTCCTGTCGGGGCAAAATACGTAACGTCGCAGTCGACAAGAAAATAAACATAGGCACGCAAGGCCTGCGAGAGTTGTTATTATTATATAATTATTCTTATTCTTATTATTCTTATTATTATTATTCTTATTATTATTATTATTATTAGTAGTAGTAGTAGTAGTAGTAGTAGTAGTAGTAGTAGTAGTAGTAGTAGNTAGTAGTAGTAGTAGTAGTAGTAGTAGTAGTAGTATCATTTTTTTTTGTGAAGTCTCGGAGATAGGAACATTCATGGAGCTGTTTACAGTAATGATTTGGTTAATTTGACAAGTTTTTTTCGGTTGCGATGTACAGCAAGAAAGAAATTGGGAATTTATGATGTACATACGATGTTACATCGGTAATGGTAAGATAGATAAATAGTAAGCCATAAAATGTTTGACTGAACAAACTACAGTAATCTGACGAGTCTCCAGATTAATGTAGATACTATCCTATGTTTTTTTTTTAGATTCGTTCTTTGATAAAACGCACACTGTGATTGGTGTGACACGTGCACATGCATAACTACCTCACTCACCGATCACATAGCCCTTCCAACCTCCAAGAGGAATTTTTGCTCAAAAAT